AGAGTAGTTTGTAAAAGTTTGTAAACAATAAAGTTTGTAAATATAACTTGCCCCTTTAAAGAAAACAACAATAAAAGCCCAGAATTTACGTAATCGTAGTAGACTGCATGCTGGTTATAAGGTAAATTCTAGCTATATTCGCCAGTGGCAGTGCATAACACTTATCCCTCAAAGCATAAAGAATCAAGTCAATTTGGTTACAAAGATGACATGAACATATAAACAGAGTATAAAGAGGATGGCAAAAAAAAAAAAAAAACAGACAATATCGACCAAAAATAATTATTTAACATCATTTTGGGTCAGGTCACAATCCAATTCAACTCTATGACCAAAGAGAAAAATAAAATAAAAATAACATATAAGTCCCAGAAAGAAGGGGATACTAGACAATTCCAAAAACCAGGGATAGCATAGTAGGACAATCTCTGAAAACACGAAGCATATCGACTCAACCCCCTTATTGCAATCCTGCGAGGAATCGTCCTAAGTGGTACTAAAGTTTCCATAATTCTATCTACTTCATTGTCCATGCTCCCTTTAACAAACAAAAAAATGGCAGATTGAGAAATTTACCTTTTTCTCTTATTTTTCTTTTTAAAAATGGTAAGATTATACAGAGAATAGGCAAAAAAAAGATTAAGTAATATAATTAATGGCTTGAATTTTATTATAATTACTAATAATACTTAAAATTTTATCCAACGATATAGTACTTTCTTGGTACATAAAAACTTCTTGTAAATATGTATCCAAAAAAAATCTTGTAAATTAAGAGTGTAAAAAATATTATTTTTTGGGACGCGGATTATTTAGGGTGTGCATGACAACCATTTTGTTTTTTGGCACTGTTTCTGAAAAGAAATAATTTTTTTCTATTTCTGTGTCATGGAACAGTTTCTGAGAAAAAAAAATGTGTTTGATAACATGTTCTATTTTTATTCTGAGAATGAGAATTGCATTTGATAACATAACTAATAATATAATAAAAATAATTCATATTAAGCATAAATTTTTTTCGAATCATCACTTTCCTTTCCATATGGCGGCGGCGTGGTGGTAATAGTGGCAATGGTGGTGGTGGTAGTGGTGGCGGTGGCGACGTCAGTGGCGGACCCAGAACTTTTTATAGTGGGGGGCAAATTTTTTTTTTTATATTATTAAGAAAAGTATATACAATCATACATGAACCTAATATAAAAAGTTTGAAAGAGTTTTATTACAAAATTCAAGGTCAATTCATTTAACTCTTGCTCTATGTTTTTTCATATTATTAAACTCTTCTATAATTGAATCTATGCTAAAATTCAAAACAATTTCTTTTTCAATATATAGTATCAAAGAATCATAAAAAAAAATTGATCTTCCAATCAATTTTGAAGTCAGATCTTGATTATCTTCCATTTGACAATGGATGCGGACTCTTTTCCTTCCCCAATATTTAGCTCAAAAAATTAGAACTCCTGTTTGTGTTTTGTTGTTGTCTTCTTTGACAATGATTTTCGCCACTCTCTTGATAATCAAGTGTGCCTTATTTTAAAAAATTTTCTTGAGCTCTAAAAATTTGCTACTTTCTTTGGAAAAACTACAATTTCAATCTCTAAAGTTGTGTTTGTTTAAGTTTTTTTGAAATTTTTAGACCAATTACTTAATTTTTTTAGTCCAAAAATAATTTTTTTTTCAGCCCAAAATTACATATATATAGTAAAAAAAAAAATCTAAAATTCAGGGAGGGGCGGTGGCCAACCCTAACCCCTCCCTTGGGTCCGCCTCTGGGCGGTATGGTAGTGGTGGCACGGTGGTGGTGGTAGAAGTAATGACAGCAATGATTGAGACGAGGGTGGTGGTGGTAGTTGGTTGCATAGGAGCTTGAATATTGGGCTTGACATGTGGTGAGTTAGAGATCTTGTTTTGATTAAATAATAAGGCAGAAATGCATAATATAGTTTTAGAAAAAAGAGAGGAAAATATCAACAACAAAAAAAACAGATGAAAAGAGAAAAAAGAATTGGATAGGCAATAATCAAGTAAATATAATTGAGGAAAATATTAAAAAAATGATTAAAAATTTAAAAAATTTATCTACAATTTAAAAAAATTGAAAAAGAAAAGAAAAAACTTCGAGTCCTTTTGGTTGGCCCAATTGAGTTGCTTAACTTCTGTTACTTATTTATTTGACTTACGTTTTTTTTTGTTCAGTTTTTTATTCATGATCTTACTTGTCCTGGCTTTTCTAATCCATTTTTACAATTTGAATTTTTTTAATTAGTTAGAATTAACTTATTCATACCTATATGTTTTAGAAACTTACTTGACTTTATTTCAGATTGCACTTATATGTATGAGCCCGAATCATGGCAAATTGTAAATATTTATAATTTTACCTTTGATTTTTATGTTTTCTGTTTTGGAAATATTTTTGTTCATTTTTATTTTTATTTGGCCTACAATTATTATTATTATTATTATTGCATCGTTACTATCATTTTTGACTTGTAAGTATTTTATTTTATGTTTTAATTTTGTTGTAAATATTAGGAGTTCATCTTTTTATTGTTAACCTTTGTCATCTTTTAATTAAGGAAGTAAAATAACTTTTTTTGAGTTATTATTATTTTTGCACAACTAACTTTGAATAATTGTTTTAGGATGAGCGTATTTGAAATGCTATTGGATTTAATTTCATTCTCTCCTATGCATAATTAACTCGTAAACCTCATTTGATTTTTTAGGATCATTTTTAAATTTCTGAAAGGGTTTCACTAATTATCTTCCAATCGAATTAAAAAATAAAAATAAAACCTAGTTATAAGTTTCCAGTTGATATATATACTGGTTGCGACGATGAGGTATTGTTGGTTAATTTAAGGCTTGGCCTATTGGGTTTGTTATGGTACATTCTCGACTTGTTGGATAATTTGACATTAGACATGGGTTGTTTTGTGTTGCGGTACTAATTTGAGTTTAGATTAAGATTGTTATGATTCCTAATTGGTTTGAAGGACAAGCTTTTAGTAATCTAATCAACTTTTAGATTGAGGTCCTGGTTTCATATTGTGGTTCGTTCTGTTTTTTTACTATACAATTTTTATCAATTTTGAGCAGCTTTGAGATGAAGCCATGAAATTCTGATTTCATGCTTCTTGAATGGAAAGTCAAAGAGGGCACAATATGAAGATCCTGATTCATATTTGTGGATAAATAGTTTAGAGGGGTGTGTTATACGAAGGTCCAAAAGGCTTATAGATGAATCTTTTGTGCTTGGCTTATGGATGCCTAAATATACATGGGTAAAAAAAATCACTTCCCGTTAAATTTTAACTAACAAGGGTTCGGTAAGAACGATTCTTATACACAACTTTATCCTTGTACTTTTGTCAAGAGATTATTTTATGGATTTAAACCGGTGAAAGATTTCACTTTGAATTTGCATATAATTAGAGTCTTCTTTATTTTAAATAATCATGTTTTATATACAAATAATAGTTTGGAATTCTGATGTGTATATGGTAATTGTAATTGTTATCATGGCTGGTATTCTTAGACCCTTGGATGGAAACCTTGTGTTAAATCTAGATATAAGCCAAGTGAATGAAACTAATATCATTTACAGTTTGTTGTAGCTTTGAAAATTTTGGTATATTTGAGGAAGCTTCTTTCACAATAAAGTTGCCAAGAGGGCAGATTCATTGCATTATTTTGTCATGGACATGTTTAGTGTTTTGTTTTCTTACCTTGTAAGAGTCCCTTAATTCCTATCATCTATAAATTTGTTGTGCCTCTAGAATGACCATCAAATCAGAGCATCATCGTTCATACCTGCCCGTGTCATTATTTATTAGTTTATTGGCTTCCAGAGCATTATGCAACTTGCTTTGTGTAGGAATAGAATCCTATACTACCCAGGCACTCACGTCTTCTCAAGAGTGTTGTTCAACGCAGAACTATGGGCATCTCTGGAAAACCAAGGATCAAAACTATGGGCACCTTATGCTTTTAAGGTATGGTTGAGGGAGGCAGTTATATTTTATAAGCTTGAATAAATGTATAATACACATGAGTATGTTACAAAACTGTTTCATTTAAAAGTGTGAAGATGATAGTATATAAGGGGAATACAAGTCTCATGTTGTAGGAGACTTGTTATCTCATGCCATGACACAAAGCATATGAAATCCACTCTTTAAAATAAAAAATAAAAAATTGTTAGTACAACTTTTGATGTATGAATAGGAGGAGTATGTTATCTCATATAACACGAGAAAAACATACCCCTAGCATATAAATAACAAAGTCCCTTCAAAATGGATATCAAATCAAACTAGTTGTTTTTTGGTCAAGTTGCTCGTACTGCTTATCATCACAGTTACTATTTACTAACTTCTCTAAAACCCATGCACTTAGATAGTGAAATCTTTACTAAATTCATGTAACTATCAAGGAAAGGAAAGGCCTAAGTTGGACCGTGAAAGAGTTGAAAATACAACTTTCTGTTAATTAGATTTTTATTCTTCTTTCCATCATTGATTATGTTGGCTTTTTTCCTAACATTAAAAAATGGCGGCCAAGTGGACTTTCTTTACTGTGGAGTTCAGTTACCTTTCATTTGAAAACTCTCAAATTATGTGTTACAGAAAAGTATATTTCTTTTAATTTTTACTCACATGGTTATTTTGAGGTGCCCAACAAAAAAAAAAAAAAAACTTTTTTTTTTTATGTTTAGAATGATTCCCCTTAAAACAGCTGCCACCCCCAACAGGGAACAGTTTAACTAAAAAGTACAAATATAAACAACTCAGTTGAAAAATTATGGATAATTCAACATATCACTTGCTGAATTAAAGATCCTCAACTAAACCCTTTGTATTATACAGGGCAAATAACTAAGATATCATCCCAATAAATTCTTCATGTGCTAAATTTTATACTGCTTTTATCCACAATCAATGCAACTAATAGAGATTACTAATTGAATTTTCAACAAGGACAAGCAGAAAACAATGAGAAAGGAAACGTAAGCAAAACAAGCCAAACTCATATACTATATAAGGGGTGGTTCTAGTACCTTACAACAACAAATGCATAAACGGCTACATGCAGTTGTTTTTGCCTGTCTAATACAACAGCTAAAATAGCACTCATTTGCTAACAGGAGAACTTGGATTCTCTCTAGTATAACAAATAAGAACTCCCTATCTAAATCCAAGTTTTTAAAACATGTTAGAGAACTAAACTCTAGATAACATAATCAGACCACTCAGAAATATATGAAGTATGATCCATGGTAAAGCTAGGCATCTTATCCAGTTTGATTGGATTATCCTTTCCTCCTAGCAACCTAGCTGGGTTTCCAACAGCAGTAGTCCTTGGTGGCACTTCTTTCAACACTACTGAACCAGCACCAATCTTAGCCCCATCACCAATCTTAATATTACCCAAAATACAAGTTCCTGCACCTATTAGCACCCCATCACCAATTTTTGGGTGTCTATCCCCAGAGGCCTTACCAGTTCCTCCCAATGTCACATTATGCAAAATGGACACATTGTTCCCAATCACTGCAGTCTCTCCCACCACAAGCCCAGTTGCATGATCAAGCAAAATCCCACGTCCAATCTTAGCTCCTGGATGGATATCCACAGCAAAAACTTCAGAAGCTCTATTCTGAATTAACACTGCCAAAACCTTCCTCCCCTGTAACCATAATTTGTGAGCCACCCTATGAGTTTGGCATGCCAGAAAACCTTTAAAATTCAAGAAACAATGCACATAACTTATGCAAGCAGGGTCTCTCTTTTTCACTGCTCTGAGATCATCCTTAACAGCAGCCATAATATCTTGATCATCCACTAAAATTCCCTTAAAAAGATCAAAAAGGGTACTGCTAGAAAGGCTGAAACTGCTCAAATTGACAGAGAGTTGATTGGCCAAAGCACTTTCCAATGATTTATGAGAGCAAATAGAACTGAAATAGTAGCTAGACAAAATCGGTTCCTGATCTACATCTAACCTTGCCTCCTCTTGCATCTTCTGCCACAGATCAACCTCAACCTCACCCTCAACATCATCATTCTCCAATTCCTCCACAACAGCATGCGTGTGCAAGGCCTTGTCACGGTTCTTGCAAATGGGCGCGGAGGTAACACGATCAGAGAAACTGGGACAGCAAAATTGAACGTAGTTGAAAGAATGATCATCGGGTTGGGACCCGTTTGGCTTCCGGGAAAGTGGGGCTGAAGAATCAACACAAGTGGCCATGGGTGAAGAAACGTTAGAAGAAGGGTGAATTGATTGCAAAGGTGGAAACTTTGGGCGAAGAAGAAAGATGGGTGTGAATTTATTTGGCGTAGGAGTGAAAGGGAAAGTATTATATAAGGGCGAAGTGAGGGAGCATCATAGAACCAGAACAATCATGGAAAGTTAGAAATTTTCCGGGAAAATAATAATTAAAAATAAGAGGGGGATTAAGGAGGAAAAAAAAAGATTCTTATTTGTTTTCGTGGATGATTGGTGAATGAATGTGATTCGTGTTCGAAGGGAAAAGCAGGTCCTGGTCATAAGGAAGCTACACGTGAAATCAAAACATTAGAAACAGTGTAAAAGCCTAAAAAGGTCTTTGTGTACGAGATTATGTGAGGGATTACGTGTTCGATATGCTGCTTCACTTCGGATAAGAGGATATTATGCTCCTTTGTAGAATATTCATAAAATTATTTTGCCTCATGAAATATTTAAAAAATGTTACATAAATGTTTTTAGGTTTTATAAGAGTTATATTGTAGGAAAAGCCATTCTGTAATGTTATAAAGATTTGTTTTGTGTGTCGTAATTTCTTTTTTTTCCTTTTTTCTTCAAAAGTGTGAGCTCCACAAAATATTGTCTATGTAGGAAAGTTTGTTGTGTCACGTTAAATGACAAATGCAAACCCTTTAATATTTGTATAGCAAATATAGATAAGTTATTTACATTTATTTCTGAAACGACGTCATTTTGGGTTGAAAAATTTAAAAATTCTAATAAAAATACTATTATAATCCTGAAAGAAATTATAATTATAAAAATATCTTAATTTCTGCTTCAAAATGATGTCGTTTTAAATAACTTATCTACGTATACGAACCAATATTTTTATGATCCTAATGTAATAAATATTTTAATTTTATGACACGAGAATCTTATTAAAATAAGTTATTTTATCTTCACGAAATAATTTTTATGAATTTTAACTCTCACCGCTAGCTTTTTTTGTTTCCATTTCTTATTAAATAACTCACATTTCTTTTTGTAAGCTCGGTGAAATCTTTATTTTTTCAGGAATTATTTCAACAAAAGTAAAGTATAAAGTAAAGGTGGAAATGTCACTCAAATAGAATAAAATAAAATAGATGGAAAGTGTGAAAGGATATGGCGTGATGTATGCAATGACGCGCCATATAAAATAATAATAAATGAATAATCACAAAGATAAAAGGAATGCAAATCGTAAGATAAAGAAATAATGAATAGCCGCCGTTCGAATTCAATGATTCTTACACTTTGTAATGTAACGCATTACGTCACCTAAATATTCCAGCTGGTGCGGTGATTCACTACCCACAAATCACTTGTCGACCAAGCAATATTTCATTTGCTTTTATCTTTTTCCTTTTTTTCTTCAAGTCGATTTAATCTCATTCCAAAATTGTTATACGGATATTGGGTGCAGCAACAAGCGTAAATGAGTCAGATCTTATGCTTCGTCTATATCAGATCAACTCTGATCCAATATATTTAATAAAATTGAACAATTTTGATAAAAAAAACTAATTTAGAGAATGTAGCAATAGAAATTAGAAGAAAAAAGAAGAGAATAAAGAAAAAGAGTAAATATTGAAGATTTCTCTAGCGATTGAAAATAGAAGCAAAGAAAAATTAGAAAAAAGTGATAATAATAAAAAAGAGCAAGTATTGAAGAGAGGGAGAGAGAAATAAGATAAGAGAGAGAATAGAAAATTTGGTAAAAAATTTAATTTAGAGAATGTAGCGATAGAAATTAGAAGAAAAGGAAAATTAGAAGAAAAAAAAAAGAATAAAGAAAAAGAGAAATTATTGAAAATTTCTCTAGCGATTGAAATTAGAAGCAAAGGAAAACTAAAAAAAAGTGATAATAAGAAAAAAGAGCGAGTATTATTAATATATCTTTATTCCTTTTCTGTTTTTATGAGGTGTCCATTTTCTGTTTTGGTGAGGTGTCCATTTTCTGTTTTGGTGAGAGATATGTATTACGTGCCTTATGCTTGCAAGTGTGCTTTCTGTTTTGGCCTTCCTTGAGTGACTGATATATGTATTGCAACTCTGTAATTTTTACACACAATTTAATTTTCAGATGATTCAGTTTTCTTCACGTTTATGCTTTACCAAAACTAACAAGTATTGAAGTGGGGGAGAGAAAAATAAGATAAGGGAGAGAATGACAATTTTGGTAAAAAAAAACTAATTTAGAGATTGTAGCGATAGAAATTAGAAGAAAAAAAGGGAAAATAAAGAAAAAAAGCAAGTATTAAAGATTTCTCTAGCAATAGAAATTAGAAGAAAAGGAAAATTAGAAAAAAGTGATATAAGAAAAAAGAGTAAGTATTGACGAGAGGGAGAGAGAAATAAGATATGGGAGAGAATAAGAATTTTGGTAAAAAAAATTAAATTAGAGAATGTAGCGATAGAAATTAGAAGAAAAAAAAAGGAGAATAAAGAAAAAGAGCAAGTATTGAAAATTTCTCTGGCGATAGAAATTAGAAAAAAGTGATAATAGGAAAAAGAACAATGTATTGAAGAGAGGAAGAGAGAAACAAGATAAGGGAGAGAAAAGAAATTTTGATAAAAAAACTAATTTAGAGAATATAACGATAGAAATTAGAAGAAAAGAAAAATTAAGAGAAAAAAAAGGAGAATAAGGAAAAAGAGAAAATATTGAGAATTTCTCTAGCAATAGAAATTAGAAGAAAAGAAAAATTAGAAAAAAGTAATAATAAGAAAAAAGAGCAAGTATTGACGAGAGGGAGAGAGAAATAAGATAAGTGAGAGAATAAGAATTTTGAAAGAAAATTAATTTAGAGAATGTAGCGATAGAAATTAGAAGAGAAGGAAAATTAGAAGAAAGAAAAGGGAGATTAAAGAAAAATAGCAAATATTGATGATTTCTCTAGCGATATAAATTAGAAAAAAGTGATAATAAGAAAAAAAAAAAAAGGAATGCATTGAAGAGATGGAAAGAGAAACAAGATAATGGAGAGAATAAGAATTTTGGTAAAAAAAACTAATTTAGAGAATATAGCGATAGAAATTAGAAAAAAAGAAAAATTGAAATAAAGAAAAAGAGCAAATATTGAAGATTTCTCTAGCAATGGAAATTAGAAGAAAAGGAAAATTAAAAAAAAAAAGTGATAATAAGGATAAATAGCAAGTATTGAAGAGAGGGGGAGAGAAATAAGATCCGGGAGAGAATAGGAATTTTAATAAAAAAACTAATTTAGAGAATGTAGCTATAGAAATAAAAGAAAAGAAAATTAGAGAAAAAAGGGAGAATAAAGAAAAAGAGCAAGTATTGAAGATTTCTCTAAGGATAGAAATTAGAAGAAAAGAAAAATTAGAAAAAAGTGATAATAAGAAAAAACAGCAAGTATTGAAGAAAGGGGGAGAAAAATAAGATAAGGGAGAGAATAGGAATTTTGGTAAAAGACCGATTTAGAGAATGTAGCTATAGAAATTAAAAGAAAAAGAAAATTAGAAGATAAAAAAGGGAGAATAAAGAAAAAGAGCAAGTATTGAAGATTTCTTTAGCGATAGAAATTAGAAGAAAAGAAAAATTAGAAAAAAGAAATAATAAGGAAAAGGAGCAAGTATTGACGACTGGGAGAGAGAAATGAGATAAGGGAGAGAATAGGAAAAGAGGAAAAGAAGAAGATAATTAGGAGCAAGGTTGTTTGTATCGTTAATCGTATGAATCGTAAATAGAAATATAATAATAAAATTTTAAAAATATATATTAAAATATTTAGTTAAATATTTCTTTTGATTAATATAGATTTTTCAGATTAATTTTTGAGTTTAAATCATAAATAAAATTTTTGTTTTCTTTTTCTTATTGATAATGATTTTTACATATTTTTTTTAATTTAAATCATAAATAAAATCTTTATTTATTTTTTTGTACTAAAATTTATAAATTTTGATTTAATTTTTGTATCGTATGATATATGGTATATATCGTATCGTACAATACAATATCGTGTCGTCTAATACAAATCATTTTTTGATACATCTCAAAATACGTATCGATACGTTTGTGAATTGTATCGAATATTGTATAATACTGATAACTATGATTGGAGGAAAACTATAATTTCTTAATTCATTTCTTAATCTTCAAATTGGTAAACTATTTATTTATAGCCACTTATATTTACTATTAGATAATGTAAATCAACTATCTAGTAACATAATTTGAAATAAAATAACTAATATTGTTAATGGGATATGATAAACCAAACTTATTAATAGCAATCCTAACGAAAACACCAATATATCAATAGAAATTAGAAAGAGGGGGAATCAGAAGAAATGGAGAAGAACAAGTTTTGAAGACAACAAAATTAGATTACCGGAGAAGAGGGAGAAAATATAATTGGGAGGATGACTGTAATTGGTTAATTTGGCTTTTTCACCATTTTATCTCTTATTAATTAATTAATAACCATTTTGCCCCTGATTCGAAACTATCTATCAATCTGCCCCTCTTTAATCGACTACCTTGCATTTTTAATCGACTAAATGGCCAAAACAAACAAAAAATGGTTGTTCGGAGATTTAGTCGACTAAATCTCCATATTTGACAAAAAAAATAAGTCAGTATGATTTTAATCGATTAAGTAGAGAGATTTAGTCGATTAAATCTCCCAACAACCATTTAGTCGATTAAACATGCAAAGTAGTCGATTAAAGAGGGGCAGATTAATAGATAGTTTCGAATCAGGGACAAAATGGTTATTAATTAATTAATGAGGGGCAAAATGGTCAAATAACCTGGTTAATTCATTCCTTAATATTGTGATCAATAGATTATCTAATTATAGCCACTTATAGAGAATAAGTTATAGGCTTATTTGTAGAATCTGAAGAAAAAGCCTAAAAATTAACCTATATTTTATTATTTATTTAAATAAAATAAAATAATTATTTAAATAATTTTAATTATTGAAATAACATCATTTTATTTATTTTTTTCTATTTCTTAATAGGTATAAGAAGCTTGATGAACTTAAATAAGCTAATAAATCTAGGTGAGTCCGTCTTATTTTTAAATATATGTCAAGTTAAACTTGTAATATAGCCTATATCAGGCTCAAAATATTTTATACAAATATATTTTATTTAAATTAAAATCTAGCCTAACGCAGTCCATTTATACAATGTTATTAAAATCGGCCCGGTCTTTCATCCGGTCGGAGTACTGGGTCACTGGATCAACCGCATGACCCGGTAATTATATGTAATTTTATATTTAATATTAAAAATTATAAACATACTCAAATATCTAAAAAAATGATAAAAATTTCAAATATTTTAATATAAAAATAATAAATCACATATTATTATCTAGTAAAGGATCAAACAAAAATATAATGATGGTGATAAATGACTTTAAGTTCAGTAAACGACATCCATAATTATAAATCAAATCAAAATTTTCTGCATAGTGCATAATTAAGATAATATTAGTGTTGTAGGTACATAACTTATGTAAGTCAATAAATAAAAAAATATTCAAATATGTCTATTATGATTTTTTTTTTGAAAAAAACATTTTGTATTTTTTTGGACCGGGCGTGGTCACCGATTTTCATGAAAATCGGCTGGGTTGAACCGAGTCGCACCGGTTCTGATGCATGGCCGCTCCTTTGCTTCATCCGTACCGATTATATGACCGATTTATCGATTTTCAAGTCGACCCGGCTGAGTCTGTCCGATTTTTTTAACATTGCATTTATACTTTACAACCCATTTGTACTTATGGGCTGTTTGATATGTAGATTACTTTAGAAATTCTAGGAAAGTGGGATGGGAAATACTTTACAACCCTGTTTTTTGTTATAATAATTATCTGATATACTAATTAATACAGCAGAATATTTTATATTCTATTTTAAATATTTTTTAATCGATTTATTAATTATTCAAATATTCCAATAGAATTGGTCACAACTAAGGGAGCTAAACGAGTCAGGGGCCTTTGGCTCGGCTCGTGAAGGTCTGAACTTATATGTCTAAAATTAATTGTTGACATTAGGTTTGAACTTGTATAAAAGCTCGTTTAATAAAAAGGCATCAGGTTCCAATTCAAAAGCTCGGCCTTAGAGCCTCTCAGGCTGGTCTAATATATTATTTTTTATTTATATTTTATATTTTTTATACTACTTGTAATAGCCCTCTCTTTCTCCTCAATCCATTTCACCCCATTTTATTGGTTAAATAAACTTTTTGAATGATTTTTTTTTTTTTTATATCATGATTTTGTTCTATATTATGTTGTTTGGATATACTTTGAATTTATGAATATTTATAGAATTACTAGTGTTGTTGATTGTATATTTTGTTTGGATAAATTGTTGTTGTCTTATTTTTTTTAAACAGGCAAAACCAGCCTTTTATTTTTTATAAATAAGTCAGGTCACAGCCGATGATTATATTTATAGTAGGTAACAATCTTGGTCAAACTTACACATTTAAACACAGACTTAAATTTTTAAAATCAAAACTCGACTCGGCGTGACCCGGAACAAGTTTTCTAGTTACTACATTTAATATTGACGGTCGTTGTCTCCTGGCCTTCAATTTTATTAAGAAAACCAAATGCATTTCAAGAAAATTGATAGTGAGACGAAGAATCTAGAAAAAGTTTCTTTAGGATTAAGCTTTGTTAGAGAGCATCATTGTCTTGTTTCTTGGGCGACCTTTGTTTAAAAAGTTATAAATGAACACATAATTTATTTATTTTATTTTTGTTGTAGAAATGAACACGTAAGTTAATTATAGCTGCGTGTTGTTTGGGTGGGAGTTTAATTTTGGCCCCCCATCTCTTCCTATTAAGCCTTTGGGTTTTCCTTGTAACAAACAAAGAAATGACATATATTGTTTTAGATTCTCAATCTTTTGTGTTTTTGTTGATTGTGGGCCAACTGTAATGGAATATTCTTTTGAGATATGCCTAATGGGGAATATTTCAAGTTTCAACACAAATTGAAAGATATAGATCAGTGGACGACTTTACTTTTGAAGAGCTTTCTAAAAATAAAAAATAAAAAAATAAAGAGAGAAATATATCAACCTTTTTTTTCTGTTATAAAAATATAAAATTAATTAATGGATATTCACTTATTAACTTAAATTTTTGAAATAATTGGTTGCTTTATTATGGTATCAAAGCTCAATCTTTATCACCTTTCATTTTTTTTAATAAAATTAAATTAACAGAATAAAAAAATAAATCTGTGTAATATCTATACTTTAAGTTCAAAGAACTTTTGTGTGAGTTGATATGTTAAAAAAATATAAAGTCATTTAGAAATCTTCACTTATGAAGTTAGTGAATTGGTTGTTTTATCATCCTCAATTCATAAGAGCACCCCCAAAGAGAAGTGATGCCCATACCACAACAAATCTAAAAAAATTATAAAATGAAAAATAAGGTATTCAACTTTTGCCGCATTTTTAACACGAGACCAAATTTAGAGAGTCAAGTCAACAGTTCAAATTAGATGGGGTTGACACACAATGGTAGGTAAACACATGTCGATCAAGTTTACAAAAAGCATCTTCTGATGGAGACAGAGCCCTCACAGTTGAAAAACGATCTATAGCTACTCTCCAGAGAAACAGAGTTTTTTTGCGTGTTTCTAACATTCATCTAACCCTGATTTTTAGGAAGAGTGGCCGTTTTGTTATATTTGTCAAAAAAAATTTTACCAAACTATCACGTCAACAGTAAATTTTGTCATATCATGCAGCATATTTTGTTACACTGTGTAGCAAAATATGTTTGCAAGTAATTCGCTACAAAGTGTAGCGAAATATGCCATGTCAAGATACACAGTCAGCAAAAAATGACACATGTCAAACAGACAGAACTCAAGCATAATTCGCTACACAGTGTAGCGAATTTCTGTCTCCTTGACACGTGTCATTTTTGCGGACTGTGCAGCATGGCATAGCATATTTCGCTACACTGTGTAGCGAAATATGCCGCGTAATATTTTGACAAAATGTACTATTAGCATGGCAGTTTGATAAATTTTTTTGCCAAACGTAAGAAAATGGTTACTGTTCCTGATTTTTAGGTTCGGATACCCACAGATTTCCTCCAAATTGGACATCATTAAAATTCATACTCATATTTTAACTCAATTTTCAATCAATTGATACTAAGTAGATTCCATTTAGTTTTAGTCATTATTCACGCATCTACAATAATCTCGCCAAAGATAATGACTATTTTGCAATTAATAAGTGATATGTATATTTAAATGGAAATGTTATATTCACAGTCTTTTTGTTTATAAACTTTTAAAAACTATACTATGTATTTTCGCATATGTTTTTAGCCAAGTCTATTTTCGAGAATACAAAGTATAGTTTGTAAGAATTTGTGAATAAAAAATTTGTAAATATAACTTATCTCATATTTAAATACTTTAATATATTGGAAAGTAGAGAATTTAATAGTATTGCAGTAAGTTTCAATAATTTAGCAACAACGATAAAGCAAATAGCTAAAGAATAGATACCGGTGTACAAGATTTCATGACTCGTGCATTGTACAAAAGGGACTATTTCTTAAATTTGAATCCGTGATTTTCTAATCATAAAAAACAACTTTATCGCTGCTTGCTGAGAAAGAAAAGAAAGTTATTGTTATTTAGCTATAGCTTGAGAAATATTGTTGTAATTTCTTCACATAAATTTGCTCTATAAGTCACTTGCATCTACGTTTTTCCATGTGAAGAAAAAAAGATTCTCGATTTATTTATGTGGGAATCAAATCCGAGACTTCTATTTAATCCAATTAATTTTTCTTATTACTTGAGTTATATGCTCAAGGAGTTTAGTCCTTAGTTATTAAGGACTTGAAGCTTGCATATTATCCGAGTATTCTTTCTCCCTTTTTATTTCATTTCATCTTTTTCTTTCGTTTCATCAATTTCTTGAGTTGTAATTTAGACACCTTTTGTCCATTTGTGTAAAGGTTTGGCAAAAAGAACAGTGAGGACTTTGTGAGACAGACCTATCAAAATAAAAGACAAAGATACTTCTTTGTCACCATATTTCTCTCCAAGAAAGCATGTTTTTGCATTATTGAAGATGCTGGCAAGTTGCAGACTAAATAGAACATAGCAATTTGATAGCCACATAATGGAATACTTAGAATTTGGCTAACTCCCTATTCTGGAATACTTAAAAATCATTAGTCATTGAATTTCACGTGCATCTGGCCCAATTCCACATAATTCAACTAGGCTTCATCAAGGAAGGACTCAACAAGAACATAGATAGTTAACTGTATATGGCTGTTTTCACAATTGAAAATCAATTTACTGACTTATTGTTCAACCTACTTGACCCAACAAAACATGTTCAGGAAAAAATCAATTCCTTTGAAAGGATAGAAAAAATGATATTAAACGAACATCAATAATGCCAGAAACCGAACAAAATATCAGTAACCGCTAGTAAAAATATCACAATAAGAGCTGCAACTTCAATTGAAGATAATAAAATAGTCTTGCTGCTTCATTTTAAGATGACAAAATAATTTGGAGCATATTGAGAGCAAAGGGAAATCAAATAAACCCAAGAAATAACATACTACAGTTATAAGTGATGTGCAGATGTAACAAGGACATCCCATGAAGGATCATTAACTAAATATCAAGGCCAGACTGTCAAGGATAGCCTGAAAAATAAATCATTCAGTCCCTTTCTAAATTTAAAGCGATAAGTATAGCATTGTATATAACTTTCCAAATCAATCAAAACGAATTCATAACCAAAATTTACCAGAAATACACAATTGTGCTTGTCATAACAGAATTACATACCATTGTACATGATATACAAATATATATGAAATAACAGGAATAAACTTTTGAAAACCTTGTTGGGTACAGAAGGGGAAAATGATCAAAAGGATTACTTGCATTGCTCATAGAAGTCAAGGTACAGGCAGTGAAATATAAGAAATTTGCCAATTATATGAATTTTGGCTATTAATATAAAGTTGAAGCTCACTAAGGTTCAACATGGTTAGCAAACTGAAAAGAAAATATCTTTAGAGCTTGACCTCCACATCAACACCAGCAGGAAGATCAAGTTGCATCAGAGAATCTATTGTTTGAGCTGTAGGATATAAGATATCAATGAGACGCTGATGAGTTCGGATCTCGAAATGGAAACGGGCATCCTTATGAACATGAGGGGATTTTAGAACACAGTAAATTCGCTTCTTAGTTGGTAATGGCACAGGACCCATCGTTTTTGCATTCGTAGTCCTTGCTGCATCCAATATCTGCTTGCAGGAATCCTCTATCAAGGGCACCCAGTAAGATCTAAGCTTGATTCTAATTTTCTGCTTTGGTGCCATCTATGAATGAGAACAAGCAAATTATCAGATGATCTGATTTTATGTGAACACACAGAAAATGATAGGAATATCATGAATTGTTATTCTAATTTCTGATTAGACATAAGAAAATCAAATCAATGCTTGAAATTTATACTCGTCTCAAACCCTTAGGTTGGTTTTGGACCGTTTCAACCGTAGTTAAAGATAAATTCATAAAGAAACCCATGAAAAATATGCTAACAGGGGATGCTGAATCCACGTTAATTAAATGCACAAAGTAACAGAATTTCCAAGAATACAATATCTAAGAAGAACTGGAAAATATTTGTGGAAATACCACCAATCCAACCATTGCAAGCAACCTATACTACACTAGCTACCACAAAAGTACAGTCCAAAATAAAATGGTTTATAAACTATTGAAGATTGCTAATCACATAACATCCTTAAGAACAGTGATTACAAGAGTATTATTTTCTTATGCATTGAACGTCTAAAATCTATAATGCTCAACTTTGAAAAAATGCAAGAATAAAGCTGCGTCCAAGGATTTCCTCAACCTTACCCTCACAAGTCGTGATTTCATGGGGACCTCTTTTAATTATTACCATATAATGAAATCATAATAGCTCATCTTGACTAAAGAGTCAAAAACAGATAATTATTCGGAGAGATTCTAATGCTGTCATTACTTTTCTCAATAACTATCCATCAGGCAAAAGAAACTACAACAAACTTGTGGAGCGCATCTAGTATCTGAAAAACCAGATATGGGAGATCATGTTCTCTTCAGGAAGAAAATATTTTGTGCCAAAAGAAAGGACTATGGTTTTAGGGGGGTTACCAGGCCCCCCTTAAAGCTGGATGTCCTTTTTACAAGCTGATATTTTCGGGGCTTCCATACCTAGCAATGTTACTTTGTCCTAGTTTTTCTTTTTCTTGGGAATTTGGCCCTGTTTTATGAATGAAGAAATGAAATGCAACCTTAACAATCCTTCCACTCATTATCAGAATTTATGGAGAAATATGCAACTAAGCATCATGAAATATTAAATGGTTATATATACTCATCATTACAGCTGCCAAATCATAAATCATATCAAGAATTGTTTGTTCAATTTTTAAAATGAGAATCACATGTATCGTTCAATTCAGAAACACATCAATAGAAAACTTAAATATAAAGAACTCAAAAATCTTAAATATAAAATAATACTTACATTTCACATATCACTAAGGAAAAAGTAAACTCCAATAATAACATAATGCCAGCATAAACCAAAAGTCATAAGTAAACTCATAAGTCATAATTCTTTATGTATTCCTACCATTGTTAGTTCATCCTAAGTACACTACCCCACATTGTTTGTGGACATTGGACGATAATTACATTTGATGTGTAATTTATTGTCAAGAACAGTACAATGTTCTCAGGTAACATCCTTCTCTTCTTAGTTTCAGGAGCCACATAAAGTGACTGCATGATAGCTATGTTTCAGAAGAACAAAAACCAGAGTGAGTGAGTGAGTGATCTTGTGAAGTCTCTATTTCACAAGAAGGGAAATATAGCAATGGATAGCCAAATAGGGTGTAGAGTGAATGAGTGACTGTGTGAAGCCCTTGCTCCGAAAGAATGAAAACAGAGATACAAATAAGAATATAAGATGCACTTTGTAGAGCTCCTATGATTCCTTTTCATTTAACAATTTAAGCTTCTCTGAATTTTCAACTTCTCTAATGTGAATTGGTGAAGAAAAGCAAAAGAGAGGGAAAAAAATCAATGAATCACTGAATTGTGTGATTCAAATTGGTGATAAAAAATCGCACCAATGCATACATATCTCACACGATTCAAAGCCATATGCAATTCATCACATGATATGAATAGCTAGCTTGCCAAAAAGCATTGAATCATGTGATTCGAATCACCGAATTTTGCAATACTAACAACTATGTTTATCATCACCTTTCCAACATGTAATTCCAACAATCCTTCAAATTTACTCCTGAAACAGATTTTGCACCAATTTATCAAAGCAGAATTCTCAAATACAAGCATCACTGGTCATTAATAATATTGAGAGCCAACATCACCTTGTCAAGGAAATATGCCATACTTTTGACATGGAGACATAAGTTTCAAGCTAACAAACTGGCTAGCATCAATAGGACTTATTTAACCTTTTACCTGAGGTATCAAACATAATATACAGATTGAGATGTCCAATCATTTCCTTATTATAATTCCTTCAATGACTTTTACTGGGTAAAATACATATTTGGAATTTGAGCCTCACATCTCAAAGATAAATTTAAACCCCAAAAAGGGAGAGAAAAAAAATCAAACATCAACTGGAGATAGGGAAATGATCAACTTACAGTATCTGTATCCGCACCAATGCTAAGTGATGAAGTGCTCGGAGTCCCCAAGTCACCAACCTTAAACACCAAGACATTTCACTAACTTTGTTATTGAGTTCAAAACATTGGCAGGTCAAGCTAAATCATAATAATGTTTAAGCCAGTGCCATTCATATGTACTAAGCCTCCTTATAAACAAGATATTACCCTAAAAAAGGCCAAAGAAAATTGCCATAATTTTCATTTTTCACTTCACTTTGTCCCCATAAAGCTTAAATTATGTGAATTTAATGACCATTATTTTGCAGATAATAACACATATGCTCAATTAACACATTTTTGAAACATAAATGATTAAACAATGAAAAATTTCCTAGGACACAGTAAATGAACATCAAGAGAAATGAAGAAATGCACAAACCTGAAAGGTGGTTTGTTCAGAATCATCATCTAGGGTGGTTTCTAAAGGTGGGTCTACGGATTCAGGGGAATCCAGCACTTCTGGTGCAGCATAAACCATAGTTGAAGAGTGCAGAGGTTTTGAGGTTGTAAGCCTCAAGGAGTTGCCGGATAGAAAGCATAAAAATGGGAACTTTGGCTTGAATGATAGAGAAGGAGAAGGATTGGAGAGTGAAAGAGGAGTAACAAACACTGCAGAGATAGAAGAAACCGCCATTGAAGCTCTTCAACAATTCTTCTATCTCACTCTCTGAAGCGAAGGGTTATGTTATGGCAATCTGCATAGAATTATCCATAATTTTTTTATTTTTTATTTTTTCTAAAATACATACATTTATTCTTTTTAAAATTTTCGTTTTTACTCTCGGAAGTGAGTCAAAGGTTTTGAAGTTATTAACCCAACAGAAAATGGGCTTTCAAGGCCCACATTTCATGAACATAGCCCAATTATATTTTGCATATTTAGTTTTGAACATTTGAATTTGGGGTGTGCACAATTTAATTTTCTTTGGGGAAATGAAAATCAATTTGATTTAAAGGTTTTGATTTTCTTATGCAGTAGAAAATAGGTATTTCATATTATAGATATATTTTGTATTGGATCCATATCTATTAAAAAGTAAAAAACAAAAAAAAATTACACGAAAATCAAAGAATTTATTAAGAGAAAACAACTCTCTTAGTAAGATAAGAGTTGAGCCGGTTGGCTCGGAAACCGGCCCATCAACCGATCCGGTTACATCAGTAGACCGATTAAGTAGTTGACCCGTTATTAACCAAGTGACTCGGTGATAAACTCCGGTTCAACCGGTACCGAATTCCTATTTGAATCGGTTTTTTAAAATTGATTCGAACCCTGCTCATTGGTGTGAGGAGAACCTTCTCATACCACTAAGCCACCATTTAATATATTTATTATATAACTATTAAGTTAAGAGAATTATTTCAAAAATCACATCTAATGGGGTTTGAGCCCCTTCCATTGGGGTTGTGCAAGATAGCAAATACCACTAAACTACACCAAGTTATTATTTAGATAGCACCATTTAAAATATTTATTATATAATTAAGTATAAAATATAAATTTATATATATATATATATATATATATATATATATATATATATATATATCCGGTTCAACAAGTGGCCCACCGGTTGAACCATTGACCCAATGACCTGGTACCTCGATCGGGTCAATGACCGGTCCGGTTCTAATAAGATTGTTTTAAACAACTGAATTGATTTTTTTTGAAGCAGTTTACAATTAGTTATGAATTAGTTTTTAACTGATTTTAATAATCAGTTTTGAACCCAAACGAAAATATGAAAAAAAATAAAAAATGATACTAGAAATTAAAAATAAAATAAAGTAAAAATAAACATAAACAAGAGAAAAATACATATGAGAAAAAAAAAGAAAAAAGAAAAAAGAAAACACTAAATAAATAAATAATAGAACAAAGATAAAAAGAATAAAAGATAAATAAAATAAAAAAATTAAACCCAATTCAATTCATAAACTTTTTAATTTTTCAAAAATCAGTTTAGTTCATAAATGATTTTTAAAAACCAATTTTTTTTTTCTTTTTTTAAGTGCAGTGTAATTTAATTCTTTTGATTTCTTTCACATTCCTAGAATTGATTCAAAACTAGTTTAGAAATAATTTTTTAAATCAGTTCTAAACTAAACCCAAAAAAAGTATAAAAAATGAGGAAAAGAAAAACAAAATATAAATATAAATACAAATAACACTAATTTTTAAAAAAAAATCAATAAACAATTAAAAAGAAAAATAAATTTAATTAAAAATAAAGATAATAAGAGAGAGAAAATACATAAAAAAAGAAAAATATAAAATAATAAAAATAAAGAAAAAAGAAGACACTAAATAAATAAATAAGAGAAGAAAATAGAAAAAAAAAATCAATTTGGTTCATATCTAATTTTTCAAACTACATAAACTAGTTTTTTAAAATATAGTTCAATTTATGAACTAATCTAAAAAAAAAACAGTCCAGTTCATAAATTAATTTTTGGAAAGTGTTTGTCATTTTAAATGACAAAAAATTATATCATTTTAAAAAAGATGCAGACATAGAAAATTTGAATTTTAAATTAAAAAAAATCACTCACTTTCTCTCTCTCATGATTTCCGTTTTTCTATGTCTATCTCTTTTCTAAAATGACATAACTTATGTCATTTAAAATGACAAACACCAAACCTTTAATTTTTAAAAATCAATTCTCTTAAATACAATTTAGTAATTTTGATTCTTTTGAACACCCCTAGTAACATCAGAGAGGAACCTTAAATTATTATCATAGTATCATTTGGCTAGCCTGGACGAACCAAAAAATAAATTTGTTCTTTTAAGATATTTGAATTTAAATATACTGGCTCCAAGTAACTGAAACTAGTCAGATAACACATGAAATTACTAAACAATATTTGTCTCGTACAAAATGAATCTACTTTCTAATACAATCAATGGAAAACGAAGAAAATACACTTGCACATTACACTCAACACTGAACATATATGAAGACACCTAAATGAGTTGAAAATTAATCAGCTTTCCCACACACACCCGTGTAACTAATACTATTTACATTTATCAGACTAACATGGAACTCAGATTACAACCAAGCATGAGATTATGTCAAAGCTCTACAATCAGCACCAACATATGTTTATGCACGAGTTCTAAAAAATTGTTTATGAAGCCACTTCCATGAGTTCTACAACTTTAGAGTCCGGTCCAGAAGTCCCACAGATCTCCATATCCATATTATCATTATCACCATTCTTGCTAACACCATCATCATTGCTGTCCTTATCATTATCATCACCATTATCTTCATTATCACAACTGCCATGTATCTCAATATTATCAACTTGGGTACCTTTTTCTGAAGGGGGTTTATTATCATGGACACAGTCCCCATCTTCAGTAAAGTCATCACAACACACAAATTTCTCTTCAACAATATCAGGTTCATTAGACTTCTCACTAACAGGACCTTCATGACATGAATTAGCAAAACCAACAGTGTTCCCATCTTTAGATATAGATAGGGACATGGAAAGCTTTGTGTTAAAGCTATTAGCTGTGAATATACTTGAGGTTATATCAGGCTTTGACTTACTGTTAATCCACCTGTCCCCTAACCAATCCTTAGATATTCTTAAATCCTTCTTGTGCACTTTCATCAGCAAGCATTCACCTGATACCACCAAAAAATAATTCTATCACCAAATTGAGAAGGATGAAATAATTAAAAGAAAAGAAAGGGCTCAATAATAACATTAATATAGCATACCAGGGAAGTAGACTTGAACACTATCATCGCCGCAGTTGTCAATTCTAATTACAACCCCCTCCCACCAGCCATCACTCCACCATGCATCAACTGCAGTTCCAACCTCAACAGCCAATTCTTGCTCCTCATAAGTTGGAGCTGGCCTGATGGTGGGCCGGCCAGAATGTCTCATCCCAAGTTTATCAGGCATGGCCAACTTGAAAGCAGGGACCCATTCCTAAATGATGGAGGAGAACAATATAAGAGTTTTGAATTCAAAAGTGAGTGGTATAAATGGCGTGCATTGAGGGAATCTATAGAGTCTTTTCTTCAAGATATTTTGTTTTTCCATTTGGTGCCATTAATTTATTTGCCACATAAATTGTTAAAAGTCTATAACCGTATCGCATTTGACTTTGGCATTCCGACCCATGTCATTATTGGCCATCCCATTACCCTCTACACTTTTTTTTTATTATTTTTGAATTTCTTGTCCTGCACTAAGAAACTAAAATCCCAGCATAAACATGCCTAAATAATCTCCTGTCACTCTTATATAGCATTACTTAGCAAGAGATATCAAACAAATTGTTTTAAAACTATGTTATTTACTCGGATGAGGGTGCATTGTATTTGAACGAAAGAGATTTTAAGCAATAGATACTTATCATTTTGCAGATTATTAGATAGAAACTGAGAATAGTTGATATCAGTTGAATATTGGATCCAAGATAGTCTATCATGTCTGTAATTCACATTAGGCTTAAACTAGAATGATGACTAATTTTATGCAGAAACCTATTATTCGATGACCTTGTGAAATTATATTTAAACTCAAACTATAAGGATTAAAGAACATTTTCCTTATTAGTTGATAAAACTATAAAACCTTAAATAGATTTTTGGCTAACATAAAACTTAAATAGGAAGGAAACCCCTTTATTGATGCACATATTTTAAGATAGAACTAACATGGAAAATTGAATTTAGAATATCTCAAAAGCTTTGATTATACCTCAAGATTTCCACTACCATCTTCGTCCTGAACATCATCATACTGAACTTTCAAATGTTTCCGAGATACCTGCACAACTGTACACCTGAACCAACAGCCTCTAATGCCACTATCTTGACAGAGCAACTCTATCTTGTCATTAACTTTGTACATGGGGTTACACCAAGGTTGACATTCAACCTGGAGGCTTTTGTAATCCATCATTTGCTTACTTCTAATTAACTTCCTAACTCCCTGGCGACCTATCCCAGACCGAGCACACCCCTTATCACTTCTGCTCCTCTTGGCTCTCAGCTTTACATCACTACCTGCACTCAACTCTTCATCTTCTACTGCAAAACTATTGGCTTTAGACTCAGGGTTCTGGACAGAATCAAGATGCAAGCAAGAAAGAACTGGTTGAGCATAGTATCCACGCAGTTTACTCAAGTCAAAGGGCTTGACTTTATTGTTTTTAAATTGCCTGAAGCACAAATGTATTCTGTCTGTTGAAGTGGGTGGAAAGGAAGGCATGCATTTTTCATAGTGTTCCCGAGTTAAGACTGTGGCAGGACCATCAACACACTCTGCACTAATGACTTGAGAATAAGATGTGATAAAAACTTCCCGAGGATGAGGATTTCGTACAGGAACTGCACCTTTGACTTCCTGATTATGGTGAAACCACCTCACTTTAACCTTTTTCTGCCCCCTCCTGTCTTCATACATATCCTCTAAATAAGCAATATAATGATTCTCTCCCTTGCCCATAACAAAAACAAAGGACTGAATCTGCATATCATAAAAATGTAAATGTGAGATAAAAAACTGTAAAGAAAGGGAACTTCTTTAGCTGGTTGGGTGGAAAAGAGGCCCTCTCTTTAAAATATACATGCTACTGAAATAATATATCAGGAAAGAGATCCTTTCCACTTTGCTTAAACTTAAAGCACCAGGTCCTTCTCTGCATACTGATGGGCCTAAAATTATATGGGTCAGCTTGTTAGTTATTCTAGAATATTCTATGAGTAGGATAAAAGGTAGGCAGTGTATGTAGTGTGGGTATGCATGAATTCAGTATTGGCTTATGGGGAACTTGAGGATCTCTGGGAGTTGAGATTTCTGGGTTTATTTTCTGCATTTTATCCTTGTATGGAGCTTGTCTCCATTTATATTTTCTGCAATTTCATATTAATAAAAGTAGGTTCCATCACATACTCTACCCAATCAAATATCAGAGGTCAAGCAATAATACAACACAAGTTCCTTCATGCCTTTATTCCTCAACTGTCTTTCACATTTTTTTGGGTAGGTAGAGGAAAGGTAAAGGGAGGGGAGAACAGGAAGGAGTAGTAAATTATCTGGGAGTTCCCTCAAATTTTAGTTCAAGGTCTTCTTACCGCTATTTTGATGCCATTCCTGCAAAATGCAGGATAATGCTTAAGTTGTTTGCCACATGTCCATGCAACTCCCGACCAAACGATGTCTGAGTTGGATAATTTGGTGTTCCTCATTGGAAAGTCCTGAGAAAGAAGAGTATGTGTACGTAAAAAACATTAACTAGAAACAGTATAAAGGGAAACAGAGAAAGTCAGAAAGAGGGAAAAGAAACAAAAAGGGATATACCTTGTCATCCACTATTTGTGCAGACAGACCAGCAACTTCACTGACACTTCCATTTGTGGTCTCATGGGCTTGTACCAGATTTTGACCAGGTGATACTGGGATTTAAAATTAAAAAAAATAATAATAATAAGAAGACTTATATGATTTAAGATGGACTTCCACTATTACTTTTACTATTTGAGAAATCTGCTGTTTTTTTATTGGAGGGATAAAAGAAGGAATTTCATCTGAAAGCAGAAAGAGTATGGTAGAGAGGTGGATAAATTATTCTCCATAGAACAAGCATAAGAAAGAACAAGATAATTTTAAAGAAAATTGTCAGTGCAAAAGATTTCTCCAATCCCACCTGCATATATGACAGAGACTCCTTACAATTCACGATTGGACAACAATGGAGATATTGAAGAAAATAAAAGTTTTCCAGAAAGATCTATGTACATATAATACTTGTATAATACTCCTACTATAGTTAATGGCACAAAATATTTATTGAACCTCATCCATATCGTTGTCGTACAAAAAACACATGCATTGTTCATTAGTCTATATCACTTGATTGTAACTCATAAAGCCATAGCATCTAGAGGTGGCAAAACAGGTCCAGTCCGTAAGGTTGGCCCGTTTAACCCACCACAAATGGCGGATTAGGTTAGGTTTCCAACCTGCCAACCCATTTGAATCCGCCCCACTTAAGGGCAGGTCAAAACGGGTTCAACGTGCCACAGAGCATGTTGATCCGTCGTCAGGTTGTTTTTTTACTTTTATCTTTAAAAAAAAAATATTAATTAGTGACCTTTTTTATACTTCATTTGATACCTTTTATACCTACAGGGAGTATAATTTTTAAAAAAAAATTACTTTTCTAATATGTTGGCGGGTTGGTGGGGCAGGGTGGGTTGAAATTTTCAACCCACTTTCAAAAACAGGGCAGGTTACCAGTTATTAGCATCCTTATATATTAATGCACAATATTGTTCAACCTACAATAACCAAAAAATTTATAAATGACAGCAATCAGTTAGAATTAAGAAATATTAACTTACCACTTCTATCTCCCAGCAGATGCTGCTTTGATAGCATCGATGTCAGCCAATCCACCACCTCTCTTCTAGATCTCCATTTGAAACCAATTGGAATGGAACCCTCCTTCCCAACAATTTCAAGGAACTCCTCAGCAACAACATAGCACATGTGTCTAACACTCCGTTCAGTGCCCACAACTGCAAGGATGGATTCCCCAACAGAATCCTTCAGGTAATAATGAACAACGCGGTTGCCACGCTCCTGCGAAACAAACTGCTCTTTCCATTCCACAAAACAGCGATTGCTTACAGTCATCTTGAAGAGAATACCAGATAAGCACTTGATTTCAAAGCAATGGCAAAGGTTCCTGACCCTTTTGATTCATTAGTCAAAAGGACAATCAGACAAATCCACAGCCATAAAGTAAGAAACTCCTAGCATATTACCATCCTAATCAACCAATAACCCTCCGAACAACCTCAATTTCCTCACTCCTAATAAGAGCTACTCGTGAAAACTCAAAAATGTTTACTACATAAAACTAACTAAAATCCTCAGAAACAGTACTTTTTCATCTGGGAAAAAGTCAGAAACCCTAATTAAACAGGTATGCCCTTCCAAATGGCATCTAACCAAAATAAAAAATAAAAAATCATCTCAACAATTAAGAAGGGGTTTGGAATCAGAGAAAAGCATCATCTAAGGACTAAATTGACCCTTTTCTCAATCTCACAAGCCTCAGAAAGGGCATGATCCTCTGCTGAAACCGAAAATGCTCCAAAGTTGACCAGAGCCACAGAAACCTCTAATTAATGTCTATGTCTACAAACAGATCAGAAAGAAACCCTTCAGAAAAATTGATCCAGAGATTGAAAAACCCAATAGCCAGAAAAACTATTGGGTTTTAAACAGCTCCAGAGGTAACAATCAGCAAAAATTAGAAATGGGTATCCCAATTGAGGACAGAAAAAGGAAGTTTCCACCAGAAAGATTGAAACTTTATAGCATACTCTGAGTAAACTTGCTGATGTTAGACCCCGGATGACTCAATGGCCTTGGGCAGAGGGTGGTTCTGTGAGAGCACCGAAAGGGAAGAAACTAGGTGGAAGAGAAGAGACAGTGAGGTCAGAGATGCTGAAACGAAAGAAGAAAGAGGGTACCTTGAAATTGCCATAGACATGGACATAGAAAAAGTGAGAGTTGCAGAGCTGAGGAATTGTGCATCCACTGTAGCCACAGGTGTTAATAGAACATGGGAAGTGGGTACCTAATTGATGGGTTTGGAGTAGAGGTAAAATTGTCATTTAATAAACGTGAGATGAACTCTTACTTTTTCAAAAATAAAAAAGAAAAAATTACTCGAGCAAAATAAAATTCTAGAAAATTCGTAAGCTTTATTTTTTCATCTTGTGTATCGATGAGATGGTATTAGATTAATCAATTATAATGATTTTTAAATGGAATGAAAAATGAGGAAATTAAACTGAGTTTGGAAACTTGCCTTTGAGTTTAATTTTGCTATTGTATCACGGGGAAGGATATTGTGACAACCAAGTTGTGTTACTACCAAGTGACTACCAATCAATTCCACCGTTAGATCGATTATGTTGATCCAACGGTTATATTTATTTCCATCTTTGTATGGTCATGATTTTTCAAATTTAATAATTTATATTTATTTCCACCAAGTGACTACCAAGTGAAAGCATTAAATATGATAAATCATAATCATACAAAGGTGAAATAAATATAAATTATTAAATTTGGGAAATCATGACCATATAAAGATGAAAATAAATATAACCGTTGGGTCAACATAATCGATCTAACGGTGAGATTGATTGGTAGTCACTTGGTAGTAACACAACTTGGTTGTCACAATATCCTTCCTCTTGTATCATTTGATGTGTTGTAATAATCATATAATACTAATGAATTTAGTTGGGATTAATTATTATGTAAGATTTTTGGGAAAATATTGTTTTCGATTCACATCATTTTTCTCACAAAATGTGACAAAGGAAATTATGAATTTTATTTTAACGAAGAAAAGAAGAAAGAAAAAATAATGTCAATTGAAATTATGTGATTGTTCTTAGTTCTTATTTGAAGTGTGTGTACCCTTAAACAAAGTGCACAACATCTGTTTGATAAAATGCGACACTTGAATCCTTGCTTTTTTTTGCTTCGGATCACGTTGTCTTCGAGTGTATGTGTGGGTGAAAGTGGAAGGGGACTATGGCTTAAACACTGCAACAAGGCCTCAATGTGAATAGGCTGTTCTACACTAATAGAGATAGGAAATGTGAATTCTTTCAATGGTGCAACTCATTACATGCTGACATGCCAATCTTCAACTCATTACACTCTTAATTTTAGTTATTGATCTATTTGTATACTCTAATTTATTATATAGAGAAATGTCAAAGGTGAAGGTGCAGGTAGTGATGGTGCAAGCCTCAATTACATTGCTGAAGCTCCTAGTGTTGTATTTATTGGGAATTATTTGGAGTTTATTGTTTTAGATTTTGTTGCAAATGTACTAAAACGAAGATAATGTAGTAGAACCTCACTTTAGTCTTTGTAAACGTGTCCTGCAGCGCAGATGCATGAGTTTTAGGAGTATGCTGTGGTGGGCAGGTGTTGTATTTAAGTACGAGGACTTCGAAAAAACAGTTTTGTAATGTGAATTTAACTTGAGCGTTATATCAAATGATGGTAGCTCAGTTGGCACTAGAAAACTGAGCAAATGAGGTGAGAGCATGTGTTCGATCATCTCAAGTATTTAACAGGAATTTAAAGTCTTAATTTCGGGATCCATCCTGAATCGGATTAGTCGCGAAACAATGAACCGATTTGAATATCTTAAAAAAAAACTTGTGTGTTATGGTCAATGGAGTTCTACTTAATTAGAATTTAAATTGTGCACGTTTGGCTTTGGTAATTAGAAAGTGTCACTATGACTTTGACAATTCGAACTCCTAAGAATCGAAATCTAAAACAAAGTAACAAACAACATAGGTTGCTGTTTAAATTGGGTTCTGTTACTGCCATCATGCTTTTGGCTCTAACCAAATAGACACTAACTGATTCAATGACAACCAATATCATTGTCCAAAGGAAGCTACGCACTACCAATCCCAAAAAGATCTGTGCAGTACCAAAAAGATTTGTGCAGTCCCAAAATAGTTAGAAAATGCTAATGTACTCTAGGATCCAGATGTTGGCTTAAGCATTCTTGGCACACTCTTCTCGGTTCTCAACTTGGCTTAATTGAGTGACTTGGCTCGAGTGTCCCAATTGGTTTGTTTACATGTATTCCATCCTTTGCAGATATTTGCATCCTAATGATAAACTCCTAAGCTTAATTCTAATGACGAAACTAGAAAATTTTGTTAGAAGGGACGAGGAAAGTAAAATTCACACTAACTTAGGTTGTGCAATATGATAGTGGGTCAGTCAATACATAATCAGATTTGAAGAATTCTCCAAGTTTTATTTTGTGCATGAGTACTAATAAAGACAAAGTGAGACCAATTTATGTTACACTACTTTTCTTTTAGGTTACAAATTCTTTAATAGCGTAAAAGTTGAAATCAGTTAGATAACTTACCTTCTTTTTTTGAAGATTGAGCTTGGCTTGAATCCCCATAGGACTATTGCAACCTCTTTTGCTTCTGTATAAATACCTTCTTTCTTCGCTACCCTTGTAGGCCTTCCAAGAAGTCTCTACATCTTTGAGGGAGAGGGAGTCTATTGTTCCATAACCACCATTGTCTCTGTCATCTAACTCAGGCATTGGATGAAAAAACAGCTCATAGAACTTACTGCATATTCTTGGCTCTCTTTAAAACTCATGATTAACCATCCTGCAATATTGTGATGTGATGTGATCACCACTACAAGCTTTCTCATACCTTCTTTTGAATCTAGCCATGATCCTAGTGGCAAAGGACTCAATTATAGGCAATATGGTAGTTAAATACTAAATAATATTCTTCAATAAATCTGTACATGGGGTCATTCTAATGTATAGACTATAGACCTAGCTAAAGTTAGTAGTTGTAACATAATATTTACAAATTAGAATGAACCCATATAGAATTCAAATACACACAAGTCTATTTCTGACTCAATTGTCCTAGCTAACACTCATTTTTAACATACAATTGAAACCAAAAATTTTATTTAACGTTAATTCAAGAAAAAAAATCACAAAAATGATTTGAATTCAACTATCCTGATTCAAATAATTTGAATTATGTTTTTTAGGTGTCTTCTTTGGAGTTCTTAATGTTAATGGATAAAAGCTGGGCTTTTTGACCCTTTTGCCCCTCATTAAATAATTAATAACCAATTTGCCCATCCCCCAGAACTATCCATCATCCTGCCCCCATTTAGTCGATTAAGATGCACTTTTAATCGACTTAATGGGCAATACTCAGAAATCATGAAACGCGAATTTTAGTCGACTAAAAACTCACCTTAATCGACTACATTTGTGGCACTTTTAGTCGACTAAGCCCATTATTTAGTCGACTAAATATCGCGGAAAATCCTATATCCAGACCTTTCTCGGTCTCATTTGCATTATATTCGAAATCAAAACTCCTCTTTCTCTTGTTTGTCAGCTGTGATCCTTCCGATCACCCTTCCATTTCATCCCACCACCTCTAAGGCATAGTAATTGTGAAATCATTGTCATTTCCCTTTATTTCTCAATTGTTTCCCCCAAATCCGAACCCAAAACCCTAAAATCCGATTCCTACCCCCAAAATTCGTGTGAAAGATGAGCTCAAGTCCAAACATGAATGTTACTATGATTTACTATGATGGAAAGCATTATGAAGGCCCCAACGGTGTTCAATTTGAAGGAAAAACGAAAATGTTGAAAATCAAACGGGGCACTACGTACAATGAGCTGAAGGGGAGGATTCACCAAAAATTGGGGCTACATCACCCTAAATCTAATCCTCCTCCTCCTCTGACGCCGTCTCCTCGTCATCCTCGTCTGACACATCAGTCCCCTGTCCTGCAACATCTTCAACCTGTTGTTTTCCTCGTCCAAGCTCTAGACGAGCAAGCCTATCTTCAACACCCTTGAACCGTCCCTGTATATGTCTAAATCTTTCATTCCCTTTCTGCACGTGACTCTTCCTCCATTTTTTGTGTTTCAGCGCCATTTTTCCTATTTTCTTCAGCGTGGCGTTTCTGCCCTTCATGACATCACGCAATGAAAACCCACCCTCAGGCTCAGCTATCTTCTGCTGGTCACCCTCATCATCATCGTCATCATCATCCTCCACCTCGGGCTCAACCATGTCTACAACTGGAGCAACATCAGGAACCTCAACATCAGCCGCACCTGTGAACTGCCACACTCCTGTTTGGGGGTTCTTTGTCATCTTGCACTGCTCCAGTAGACGTTTTCCAAACTTATGATTATACCCTGTGGTCTTCTTCAAGGTCACATTACCTATGGGAACATCAAAATGCTCCATATATCCTATGAACAAGACAAGCAAATGGAAGTGCACCCTTGTGTTTGGCCTTATACATCATCCAACACATGTAGTGCCTCCAGTTCACCGAAGTACCATGTCGGATAGCCCACATGATGGGAATGTCATGCTCCAACACCCTGGAATGATTGAACGCTCGCGGAAACAGAATGTGGGTGATGACATAGTGTAGTATGCGGGACTCCACAGTAAGCAACCCCACCGTATAGGCAATGTGTTGCCCACAGACTCTTCTCTGCTCCTGCACGGCATCACCTCGTGTATATCCTGGAAGTATGGTCCCGCTGTCTGCGTCATATTCCACAGTCCGCGCAGAATCAAAGTCATACCCCAGTAACTCCAACCATACCGGAGCCGTCATGATGATCTCCACCCCGCAGACCCTAGACCTCAGCTCACCCTCTACGTAGCTGAGGTTATGGTAGAAGGCCCGTACATGCAGCTCATAATATGAACACGACAGTTCAGCCAAGGTCCTAAGATGTGATTCCTCCAACCACCTCACAATGTTAAAACCTTCTTGTTCAAAAAAAGCTGTATCAAGTGATTTGGCCCCACATATCGGTCGGTTAACAAAGTCACGGACAAATGATTCATGAACCACGGGGTCATTCTCGAACAAGTATTCGAATGGGAGGTCGACAGGAGCGGCCTCTTCCTCTTGTGGCCTTGACGAAGACGGACGGTCTTGTCGTAGTTTCTGTCGTCTCTCATTTCCAGTGCTAGACGATCTTCT